CAACGTCGATATTTATTTGTAATGCTTAGTTTTTAGAAAAATCGACGTTAGGAATGTTATGATTTGAAAATCATGTTTGGTAAATATATAAGTAAAGGAATGTTACGATTATATATTCTTAACCTTTCGCGTCTATTTAAGTCTCTGAATTTAGGTCACTAATTAGTTGATCGAAACCATCAACGTGGAAGTTAAAATCACATACAACTTTCACGTGACTCAAAGCAAGCCCCTAAAAATTTCTCTCCAATTCAAATAAAAGTTGTATGCGATTTTATTAACGTCCACATCGTCGATTTCCATCGCGTGAGATCTTGATTCATTCACATATAAGTAGGTTGAGCATCTAGAGTCCTACTTTCGAAGTTGAGGACTCAGAACTACACCATGTAAAATGTTAGGGAATTATCCTAATTTTCCCTAAAATTAATTAGTTTGACTATTTCTTTCAAACACAACCAAACATGCTCTAGTTTCAAGTCAATTAAATTAAATGTTAAATCTTTTTGACCATTTTTGGCCATGTCCCATGCATGCATTTCCATTAATAAATCGCTTACAAAAGTATTTGCTTTCTTCTGTTTTCCCACTTATTACTCAAAATTCTGATTGCTTTTTTTGTACGGCTTTACCAGTTTCAGATTGTAAGTCAAGAAATGTCTTAAAAAGGGAACTAAAATTCATTAAGAAAATTTACTCTCATTCATGAAGTTAATTATAATTAAATTGGCATTTAGGGAAAAAGGAATTTATTTAGCTTGATCCTTAACATACTTTTTAACATCTTTTGTATTCTATTAGGTCTCTCTGCATTCTTCAAAATTAATTTCATGGTAAGGATTAATTCTCTAATTTTTACTTTTTATTTATATTCTTGGGATAAGATTTAATTTCATCTTCAAATTAATTTTTTTTTTCTTTGCTATAGGATATTATTCTTGCTTTCATCTTCATTCTTGGTTTGGCTTCTTCAAGATTTTCAAGCTTAAATCTTGCCTCGGGAAATGAAGAGCACTTCAATGTCATCGATTATGGCGCCAGAAGTGATGGTGTTACGGACGATTCTCAAGTAATCAATGTTTTGAAAACTAGACCTGATTGAATGGTTCGACCAGATATTGCTTAAAAACTTATTCAATTTCATTATTCTTTTGTATTCTCAGGCATTTCTGAAGGCATGGGATGCTGCATGTAGTGCAGCAGTTGAGCATCCAAGGGTGATAATCCCTCCTCAAAAAACCTTCTTGGTAAATCCAATCAATTTTCGCGGTCCATGCAAAGCGACGAAAATCAATTTCATGGTAAGGAAAAGAAAATATACATAATTTACTGCTATATCAATTGGCACACGTCTTATATTTTTAATTTTTCATCAGATTTCAGGCACGATTATCGCCCCAAGCTCACCTATCGTGTGGAATGGGCGCGACGCAAGTCAATGGCTAGCATTCGACAATGTGAACGGGCTAAATGTTGATGGATTTGGCACAATTGATGGACAAGGCAAGGGTTGGTGGGATCAGTCATGTAGATATCATCCACAAAAGGTATATAAATGTATAACCAGATTACGAATTTTTTGCACCTTTAGCTGGACGATAGGTCAAGTCACCTCGTTCTCGACTGACTTTTTGTTTGTTTCTTTTAACTATGTCTGAGTTTCAGAAACAGTGCACAAAATTGGCTCCAACAGTAAGTACTTCTCTCCTCTATTTTTATTTATTTATTCAACGTTCTCAGTTGAAAAATTTATGCTGGAAATAAAAACTGAATGGAATGTTATAAGTGAGTTTTAATTTTAATTAAATATGATTCAAACAAATTATTAATGAAATTAAACAATAAGAAATTGATGAATAACGTAAGTCAGAAGAGTCTTAAACTCGAAAAAAAACCCCTCTTTTGTTAGCATTTTCATTAGAAATCTAAAAAGTTTCCGAAGCCATTAAAAGAAGTGGGAAAAATTAAGCCATCTTTAAAGCAAGCATAATATCGAGCATCGACTGTATATACAAATTTTCCGAAAATGCAGGAACTTGTACAAAATTGTATGAAATTATATTAAAAGTTTAGAGATCATTCAGGGCTCGTTTTCCAGACCTTTTGAAAAGTCGAAAACTGCTTTCAAATTTGTTTGAATAATTTTATGAAAGTTCTTTGTTGGCTAGAGAAATTTTAGAAGAATCTGTTTTAGGTTGACTTTTTCATGAAGCTCTTTTATAAGAAATTGAAGCAAAAACAAAAACACTGCCAAACGAATCCTATATACACGAGCGATTGCTTGCACACATGAAATTGTTTAATGCATGCAACATGCTCAAATAAAGAGTCATTTGGCATGGCTTTTGAAAAGTCAAAATCGAGTTTTTGAGATCCAAAAGCTACTTTTGGATCTGTTTGGCTAATTTTATGGAAATGTTTCTTCTATTCATAAGAATTTTTAGAGGAAGCTGATCTAACGTAACTTTCTCTAAAAGTACTTCCAGAATATGAAGGTTTTTTAAAATCCAAATAAAAATTGATGTCGCTTCCTCCAAAAGTTTTTCTACATGAAGCAAAAGAGAAGGCCAAACGGACCCTAAGTATCGTCTTAATTACTTAATGCCAATGTTTTCACAGTTAATGTGTGAACTATATATGTTACTTGTTGGAAGACTAAGATTTTATAATGAATTTGATTTGTTATGTATTCTTCAAATATATACCTATCAAATTTGTAACTTACGTGACTACCATTTAAGGTTATAATTAATGGAAGTTACCACAAAGTCAAGTCTAGATTTGGCTCGACTAATTAGTCCACTTTGAGTAGAGAAAAAAAAAGGAGAATTCTTATAGAGACTTGAATTTTTTATTACAGGCTTTAAAGTTTCTTTCGTGCAATGGGAGCAGTTTGAGTAACATGAACTTCATTAACAGCCCTCAGACGCATGTACTCGTCAAGAGATGCAATGAGTTCGACGTTAACAATGTCGTAATAGAGTCTCCGGGAAATAGCCCTAATACTGATGGAATACATATTCACTCGTCTCACCATTTGACCATCACCAATTCTAAAATTGGAAGCGGTACTTATCGTTCTCTCTATATGTGTCGCGTACGCGTGTGCATGTGTAACATTTGTCGTTTTGGACCTGTGTTTCAGGTGATGATTGCATTTCTATTGGTGATTACGTTTCTAACGTTGAAATAAGTAATATTATGTGTGGACCTGGTCATGGTATTAGGTACGTAATTAATTACTTCTTTCTTTTTTTTCTTCTTTTTTATCCTTCTCGTTCTTCTTTTTCCTCTCTTAATCTTTGTCCTTTCCACACCTGGAATCCAAGTCAATTCGCGAGGTTTTTTAGATCCATTGATGAGATACATACGGAAAACATGTTAATTTTGAAAAAATATAGCTCACCCATTGACATATATATAGTAGTTTATAACAATTTAATTAAGCAATACAAAAGACAACTCAAAAAAATGAAAATGAAAATCTAGACTAGAATTTTTATTACATGGGCCCACTTAGCTTCGAGGTAAGAGATGAATATTCGGATATTTCTTCTTACAACGTATTGATTTAACCTGATAAGTAGGACCAAACTTGTTGAATCAATCGATCATACTTCTAACACATGTAACATTTATCAACATCTTAAATATCGAATTGCAACTCGATTCGTTTACCGTCTTTGTATGTATGATAAAATAGTATTGGAAGCCTTGGAAGAGGAAGGAATTATGCCAAGGTGGAGAATATTTACATTAGTAACTCCCACTTCAATGGAACAACAAATGGAGCACGAATCAAAACTTGGCAGGTACGAACTTAGAACACATAAAAATTTGAGTTAGGATTTGGTAGAAGAAAAATCAACATATAACTTTGCTACTTGTGGTAGGTTGGAAGAGGATACGTTCGAAAGGTGACCTTTGAGAATCTTATATTCACATCCGTGCAAAATCCTATAATCATCGACCAGAATTACTGTCATCCCCGAGATTCATGTAAACAAGAGGTAAATCTTTTAAACTTTAATTTTCACTGAATTCCAATTTAGTTTTTACCCATTTTTCCTCAATTGTGTGAAGAAAACTGGAGTTCAAATAAGCGATGTAAATTACAAGGATATATTTGGAACGTCGAGCACGAAGATAGCCATTACTTTAAACTGCAGTCAGTCCGTGCCATGTTTTGGAATATTTATGCAGTCAATACACTTAGAATCTGCCCAAGCTGGGAAACGAATCACGGCAAACTGCAGTAGCGCTTTTGGTGAAGAAGATAGCGTTTTTCCCGGCCCCTGTCTCTCAAAAGCACGCCTTTGATTGATTGGGTACAATACAAGTGTACCTTTTAACTTGTACCATTAGATTTCGAAAGATGCCATTTTGAAAATAATTTTTATTGTATTTTCTTTTTCTTATCAACAATTTATTTTTCATATGATTTACGCAATACACAATACTTTCATTTCTTTTCATTTTTCAATACTGATTATTATCGATTATTGATAGTTCAGAAATAATCAAATTGACCAAAACATAGTACGTGAAGATTATTGGAAAAAAAAAGTTAGAAGAAACGTTGAGTCATGATTTGACAAGAAGTCAAAGAAGGGCTATGCCCAAAAATTGCAACAAATAATCAAAGAGGAACCCCTGATATGTAGAAGGGATAAAATATTAACTTGAAAATTTTAAGATCAAGGACATGTTTGGCATGAAATATTAGATAGCGCTACAATATTCAAAGCTAAATCACATTTATATAGAAGAATACATAGAATCGCGTCTCTTCCAGATTATTTGATTTTAATCCTCTATCTTTCATATTCCCCATTAAAGGAATAAACTTAGAGACACAACATAAACCCATTTCTCTTCTATGTTATAGAAAAATTGAGAAGTTGGAGAAATTTACAAAAGTAGCATAATTGAGGGATTAAAAGTAAAAATAAACAAGGGACTAATGTACAATACAGAAAGATTAGCCAAAAGAGGATTTTGCTGGCTCTTCAAGCTAAAATCTGAAATGACATTTCCTTGAGAGAATGTGCTAATCTGCAGAACACTTTAAGGTCGTGTCCCATTTTATCCTGTAAGATATACCCATGCATTCATTAATCATCATTCAAAAAAACCTTGGCTTCTATTGTAAGACTCAATGCCTCTCAAACGTCTAATAAAAGATATTTTTTCTCACATACAAAGAACTAAGCCATATTCTCTAAATTTAAGTAGTGCTTTTTTGCCACTTAATAAAAGTAAAATGCAAACGGCCCCCGAGAAAAAAGACATCGAACATAATGAAGCTAAGTATTTCTGTCATTTTGTTCGACTCAAAAAAGGGAGTTGATTTCTAGGGGTTTTTAATTAACAAGAAAATTGAAGAAAGTGCCCACTTGAAAAACCCTATGCAAAAATCATTCGAACCATATCAGTCTGGAAAAAAAATCACCATACAAACTCTCAAGCCCACAAAAGGCGAGAAGCAAAAAAGAAGGAAAAAAGTCATAAAAATAAGGCAGGACCCCCAGTAAATATTTTAATCTTTCAAGAACTGGAATTAAATCACCATACCTCGCTTAGCAACTCAAGTCTTTCAAGAACTGGAGTCAGTTCTTCGCAAAGCAAATGCAAGTCCTCTTTACTATTATCCACGTCACCATATCCAATTGCTTTCAAAGAATGATCGTATTCACGTGCATAGGGGCTACAAGCAAAAGTAAACATATGTTTAACAAAAACAAATTTTGAAGATTTCAGAGAGCAGAACACGAAGAACTATACCTATCTTGGAAATGGGTGAGAATAATGTTCATCACGTTTTGTGTAATCAGAAGTAACAATGTAATAAACCGATTCCTGTGTCCAACAATCTGGCACATTTCCACCATTGCAATATATCTCCTGCAGGAAGAACAGTTTTACCAAGAAAACAGTTAACATTTCATCAACAAAACTTGCAGGAATATCACTTTAACTGTGAGCAAACATAACTGCATTACAATTAGACTATTTCCCAATAAGTATTTTGTAAACAAGGAAACGAAAAAAATAATAATTACAAGATAAAGTAAAAATGCATTTCTTATTTTATCATTTACACACTCTGAGCTACCAATTTTTATATTGTATAATATTTTTACCAGTACTGTGCTTATTTCGGTACATTTACGTGGCTGTGTAGTTCTTAGGACAAAAGCACTAACACTGTAAACAAGCAGCAACTTCCTATCGAATTATGCAATGATTGCAGCCATATTTCATGGATAACTATGGTGAATAAATAAAAATGTTAGCCCTGAGCACCTGCATGTACCCAAGTCCTCCATACACTGTCCAGGCCAATAATATTCACATTTTATATATCAAGTCCTAAATGCAGGTCAGAGTTTCAAAATATTCAGATTTGCGTGGTAAACTTAATACGAATCACAACCTTCCCAGACAAAAGGATTACAAAAAAATCAGTTACACTCGAGGTGATGAGAGAGGGAGGGTATAGCTATTTTAGAGGAGGAGAGAAAATCAAATTACCGTTTCTGTGTATTCTCAGATGATGAAACATACTCTCGAGTAATATACATGTTGATGATTTCATCAACTTCTTGTCTTGATAGCTCATTGATGTCTTTAATCTAGAAATCCATAATAAATGAAGACTAGTTTAATATCTTAGAATGGTGACAGAATCAAGAAGATGAAAAAATAAAATTGCGGACCTTGTTAAGTAGTATATATTTTTCCTCTGCAGCTCTTTCAAGTGCAGTTGCCAGGGTCCTAAGAAAGCGACTGAGCGAAGTCAGAGTCAGCTGCTGCTGTCCAGCTGAAGTATGATAGTCGGTAGGACCATCTGATACCTAACCGAATCATATTGGGAAGAAAAGGAATCTCATCATTTTCTGCTTTGCTAAAAAATATACGAGTTTGAACAAATAAGAGCTGCATCAACGCCAACACAATTACCTGTAGTCTTAGTGACTTCTTTGTAACAAGGAAATAAAGATAAGAACTCAAGTTAAAGCAGAGGCGGGATGTGTTTGCTTCAACTTTCCTCTGAATCTGAAAATTGACAGTGAAGTGAAGATAGGAAGACAAGAATTTGTAACAAATCTAGATGTTTTTCAAGTCAATCCATGTAATTTCGAGTGAGATAGGATTGTGGACTATATATTACCTCTGATCGGACTGATTGCATTGAAGTGAAAACATCAGGGTCACGGGAGAAAAGAGCACGCATCATCCCAAAGAGCCCTTGAATGAAACCATATTCATCACTCTCTTCATACGGCCAAACCTTGTAAATTCCATCAAGTCTTTTATAGTCAGAAAAGAACCTTTAACAGGATTTAAGTGGATTAGAAGTCATCTGAAGTGGCATAAGAAGACCATTATTTTAAGATGTATTTGATGCCTTAATCAGTAGGTTGATTAACGTTGAACACCATGCAATCTTCAATTATCCAAGATTATATTAACATTAGTCATCCTACGAGTCTTCTTATATTTAACCGGTTGCCACGTCAATAATATACATGCACAGTGCCTAAACTAGTTTGTCAGATACACAATATAATATCAAATTAAAGACCTGTACCTTGCCGAGTATGCCAACAAGAAGATTTATTTGTTCCAATGTCAATTCATTGGCATCAGAAATATCTACTCGAAGAATTTGGTCAAAGAGAACCTGATGACCTTTAACAAATTCTATGACTTCGCGTACAATTTTATTCTTCACCTATAATCAACCAAGTAATCCAGAAAAAAAATTACGGCCAGGTAAAGAAACAAAAAAATTGGTATGTAAACCCAACTTTCAAAGGAAAACAGATAAAACAAGAGTACAAGAAACAGACTAGAAAAATAATGCAAGTGACATTACAAATTATTCAGCTATAACAGGTTAACCTTGTGCAGATTATAAGATCGCTCTTCCAAAATGCTAAAGCATATTCTTGCACTAACAATAGAGAACATTTCATATGCATATAAATAAATCCAGACGACACTCAGTTCTCATTTGAAAAGTCTATGGACTGACTTTTCAGCACTATGAATACATTCCTTCAAGTATTTCAGAAAGCTTTCTCACCAAAAGTATAGGGCAGAACACAACTTATTGTAGAAAAGGTAAAGAATTTATACAATGAATCAACCACGTGATTCATGACCATTCTGGAAATTCTGGAGACACTTGTTCTTGATCATCAACATCTTCATACAAGTGGTTTACAAATGAACAAAGATATGCAAAACAGCATATTTGGGACAAACCAATCCTCTGATACTCGTACACAAACTCTATATCCTTATTGGACTCACTCTTGGAGAAGCTTTAAGTTTGAATATAAAATCCAACAATTATCACCAGAAAGTGTAGAAGTCGTACAAAGATTTTAACAACATCTTTAGTTCAAAAGTTGGAATTGTTAAAGATCTGGAAAGATTAATCTACATCATATTTTCACAATTGTGTGGGATTATTTTCCTTAATAATAGATTGTGTGATTATCACACAATCCTTCACTTTAGAGTTACATGTAGTCCTACAAATAGGGCTTCCACGTTGTAATAGTGATACAAATTTATCGTACACAATGTATAATACACATAATATCAGAACAAGTTTAATTCAGTGTTGGTTAAATTCGTAATCGCTTCCATTCTCCAGTGAGTGGCCTCGTGCTGCTCGTCCAGCTAAGCTTCGTTCTCTTTTTTGGTGTCTTCTTAGCTTGTTTGTTTCTAGATTCGTTTTCTAGTTTCTCAGTCATATAAATTTCAATCTGGATTTTCTGATTGCTTATCTTGTTTCTTCTTGACCCTTTTCTTTCCCTCAACACTTCTCTATCCTCTGTTCAGTTTTCTCTCGATTATGTTTGGTCAACTCTAGTGAACGTCATGCTACCTTTGTTTGATAAGTATTGGAAAGGCAAATATCGAAAAATACACTCTAGTCTCCATTCCTCTTTTCTGCCAAAGTACCAAACTCTTTGAATAGGGGATATTATAAAGTGTCCAAGCCGGTAACTGAAAGGGCAAGCAAATATTTTGTTGAGCCTTTTCCTGATTGGCTGTAACCTTTTTCTTTGTGATGGTGCATGTGCTTAGAATGGCTCAATTCTGATGGGTGATCTTGGCTGGTGGCTTCTTGGCTACTGTTTAGCTTCCTTTTCGGGTTTAGTGATGTTAAGCTATTTTGATCAATTTAAAGGTTTTGCTTTGGTGATGACCTACTAGATGTATCGCTAATTATGTAGCCATACTTGCAATTACGTTGAGGATGATATTTCAGAGCGTGAGGGGTTGCTTCTTGAATTGGACTATTTGGGATTTCAACTTGCATTAGGGCCCTCTACCTAGACAGTCTCTCTTATGGTGCTGAATTTTCGACGGTGGATTTTTTATTATTTTTTTATTTTTTGGTCTTGTGAATCCAATAATCTCATATGAGCCTCTTTGATAAATTTGTTTCTATCTTTATTTACTTAACGTATTGTCTCAAAAAAAATCTTGTACCTTTTCCACCAGAATTATTTCTATCACATTGCCTTAGCCTCCTCGTGTGCCATGGTTCCTCTTTGATCAGTCTTTATCTCCTTCATCTTTGAGTGGAGTATTGATGCAATCCATGGTACTATTAAACATGGTCTATCCTTGGCAAGCCTAGATATTAAGCCCTTGTTTGGTATCGCTAAAATCTAAATTTTATTCCAAGTCAAAGTCAACAATTCATTTTAACCACATATTTTAAGGTCTCACAACTTTCCAATCACACATTTCATCAACTTCTATCGAAATCTACTAAAAATCTGATTTTAATTCCCACCAAACAGGGGCTAATTCTGTTTGAGGTTCTTGTTTAGTCCTTGTTCGTTATACTAGTGGGTGTCTTCTTTAAGTTTTGGTGATGGTCATGGTGGATGATGGTTTTCTTTTACCCCAGCTTCTAGTTCTTGATTGGCTTAGTCAGCATTCAATATTAATACAATTCTGAAGTACCATTAAGTCTTGGAAATGATGATTTGATTTAATTATCAAACTCACTTTGTTTCTACAATACCATATTGAGTTTGAGAGGATGTTTAAAACAAGGAAAGATTATAAAATTCAATTACCGTGATATTTCCCAATTACGTATGATTATTTTCCTTAATAGTTGATTGTGTGATTATCACACAATTTCCTTTTAGAGTTACTTGTAGTCCTATAAATTGGATCGTGATAGGGACACAAATTTATTAAATAAAATTTGTAATATTCTAACAGGAATCTACTTTTTCTTGGGCATCCCAACTTTTTCTAGGACATCCTTCTTCCTCCGACCAACTTGAAATTCTTATCACAAAAAGTTTGATTGCGTTAAATTGTTTCTTACAAGTGGCTAAAGCACCATATGAATCGATTATCCCAGTTATAGATAAAGATTATCCTGGTCATTCAAATATATGCAAGTCTATCTGGATAAGGGTGCATTAATTCCTCATAAAATAGAATATATAGCGGTAACAAGTAGCTCCAGACTGAATAAATCATGCAGATCGCAAGAGGCAAAAGCAGAAACACATAATTTATAACATATAAAAGAAATCTGACGTCAATCTACAACTTAGAGCTTGCAAATTTTGTATATCATTGTCTAAAACGAAGTAATTTGAATTATTATATACTCTATTCTACTTCATGAAGAATATCGCATTCTTCGCACAATAACTAGCTGACTAGCTCAAGGCTCAACAATCATCTGGAGGTCATGAGGGGGCAGTGATGCAAAAGACACTACAAAGGGGCAGATTATATCGCATTATTCGCACAATAACTAGCTGCCTAGCTCAAGGCTCAACAACCATCTGGAGGTCATGAGGGGGCAGTGATGCAAAAGACACTACGAAGGGGCAGATTATATCATAAGTTTGATTTTAACTCCACAAAAGTTATACGACACCTCTACCCAAATTGCAAAATGCAGGTAACAACTGAGAAAAAAGTGTTCTTTACAACAGTCGCGAAGTAGTCTAACCTCAAAGAACTCAGATGTATCAACCAATGATGTCAAGGAAAACACCAATCTTAATATTGGTGCAATGACCATACGCTGTTCATCAACATCAACTGACAAATTTCTTCCAACCTTAGTATCAATACGCCGTAAAGTTCCCTGACAGACAGTATGTGTTGATTTTCGGGTCTGTTATGTAAAGAAGGCAGTGGCAAAAAAAAAAAGAAGTAGCAGACCTTTGTTTGAAGATTTAGGGCTTTACAGGATGCAATATGCTCAAGTAAACCCATGGAAAACAGAACCTGCGCCCCTGACTTCCCATATTTGTGGCTAATTCTGAGCAGTAAAGCAAGTTCCGCTTCAAGAGTGCAAACACGTTGCATTGAATTTAAAGAAATCCTGCCACCCTAAAAAGACATAGAGAAATGACCATGAAACAAAATTAGTTAGCAATTAAAAATTCAGAAATTTGCCTTCAGTAAAAAATTTAAACAAAGTAAGTATGGAACCCATACATTTAGACACAGACCAGGAATTTATTCAGAATGAGTATTCTATTGGGAAAAATATCACAATTGGTAAGGGTAATGCTTCTTTCAAGCATACTGACCCGAAAAAAAACACCCCCAGGGCATATATAGCAGCGGATGAAAACTCAAACTTAAGACCATTCATACAGCCTCAATTCATGTTGAACTAAAGACTTCACAGAAAACGTCAAATACCACTAACATACGACTTATGTGTTACACACAATGTAACGGCCCGATCTCTATGCCAAAGCTGTTATATCATATGTATTATCCACTAAATTGGTACCAAGATTCAACTTAAATATCTCATAAATCAAAGGTCTTGAGTTCGAATCACGGGGAACAAGACAAAAAGCCATAAGGAATAAGATGGGCTTAAGCTTTCCCAAAACGAACAATAAGTATGATATAACTTGGGCGCGAGACCCAAGTCGTTACACACCAACATTAACAACTAGAATATCCAATCCTCATTATTTATATTACTAAAAGAGGAATCTAGAAGTCTGTCATCCATTTATCAAATAATAGCTCTAGATATCGACAAAATTAGATTAATTGTTATTCAAAAACATCAAAAGTAATTTATTATTTTTTACCACTTTTTAGAGATTGATTACTTAAATAATCACAATCAAACAAGATAATCTATAATATATTAAATATCAAGTGAGAATCACTATTTGGACGATTGTAACCCTACTATAATTCAATTATTTCAATAATACATTACTTTTCGTTTTTCAATATACATTTAATTTATTTAACAATTTAGTTACCATAAATGTACATATACATTTGACAAATTCATTTCACTTGTGTGCTTTCATTAATGTATGAATTCTCTATTATTAATTCTCAAATAATTAATATTCACATTCATTTAATTAATATTCATCTTTATTTATGTATTTCAGTATTATTAATTCTAATTATAAGTTAATTAGAATTTCACTTTTAAGAATACATTTCAATATTCACGTCCATGTATGTTAATTAATATCAAGTTTTACTTAATTGAAAATTAAATAAATGATTTAACATTAATTGTCACGTATATATTCACTGGTATTAACTCTAAATTAATTAACATTCACGTATATTCAAATATTACTTTTATAGTACTTACAAAGCATTTTTCAACGTTGACTAGTACAAGCTAAATGGGATCTTTATAATTAGGAACGCAACCAGCAATATAAAATAATAAAATAAACTTTCTCACCTAGTGCCTTCTTCCTCTCTCCCATCATTTTTTTATGTTATTCTTAAATTCAGGGTTGGCGATTGTGCCGATGCAAGAAAATAATAGAGAAGCAAAACATACAAACTAACAAAATATAATTAAATAATATCAGTTAAATGTAAATAAAGGAGAATGACAAGGCAACTATCAAGCCATGTTCATTATGTAACTACGGGAAAACTGGTGAACCGTACCTAAAATTACAGAGCTTTAATCTTTATATGAAAAAGATCAAGACAACATATAAAAGAAACAAGTTGATAACATTAATTTAAGTACCAGAGAATCTTGCCTAACGTGTTGATCTATTATGAATGAAATCATTTGGTTATGTCAAGATCATTAAAGTTCATAGAATTGAACAGCTAATGAAATGTGATGATTTATGTTGTTGTACAAGAAAGCAATTTAGCCCATGTTTGACAATCTTTGAAACATAACTCTTTTTTTCTCAAACTCATTAACCGCACATTTTCACAATAACATTTTTTGCACGTAAACCATAAAATTTTTCCTCCTTTTTACCCAGACATGCTCTAAAAAATCACTATTCCAAAACTCATTTTCCCCAAATAATTAATTGGAGAGAGTAGTTCATCATATCCAACCAAAAAAGTATTGACAATACAGACCATACGATGGATAACATACGAGGAAAGTGTGTAACATAGGAGATACCTGACTCTTCCTGTCCACCATTACGGAACATACAAAAAACTTTTGAACATACATGTCCATAGCCTAATTATTTAAGTCACCGCATAAAGCAAAATGTGTATAGTTCATTTATATGTTTGTGTGGGGAAAATAGTTGGAATAATGAAGAGATCAACAACTTATTTTGATGAATGGAGATAAGTAGCTATTGGAAGAATTCAAAGATCAATCTGATCAAACTTATTTTATACAACAATATCAATTATAATAAGCTTGGATATAAAATGCACCACTTGAACTTGAATTTGCTAATACCATTTGGTCTGATATATTGAAGAAGAATGGAACATTCTTTTGAATCTTTCTAATGTGATCTGATAGGAGTAAAGAATAAAAAGCCGATAGCATAGACAAGTTAAAAGAGTTTTTGTTCTCACAAACCAAGAGTTTTTTTTTCTTGATTTGACTAGTAAACAAATACAACATCCATTAAAAAATTAAACTGAAGCATGTAAAGTCCTGAAGGTAGTCAGCTTTAATCAATGCTAAGTAGTGACATACAATTCATCAAACCATCGATAAGGTGTTATCTAGTCAAGATTGCAACAACAAAATTAGCAGCATTTCAAATATAATGGTTACATAATAAAATTGAGCAGTTTTCAGAAATTTGCAGGGGTAAGGGTCATATACCTCATATGCAAAGGTGCTGATGCTCAGGAAGCAGGCTCTCAAGAAACCTCTACTTTGAAGTTGGCTCAGAAAAAACTTCTCATGATCAATGCAAATCAATGCATCTAAAACATATAGTGACATAGTTTTTGCAGATTCACTGCCTCGAGTGGCATCCTTTATGACCTAAATTCAAACAAAAGAGAAAAAGTTATTAAACAACACATAAGGAGAGCTGAGGAATTACAAGTGTTAAATTCGACGGAGCATATTGTGCATGACACAATGCTGTGGTTACAATTTTCTGTTTTCAAATATTAGGTTAAACATTGTAGTGTTGGAAGATAGCACATTGACAAATTTCTTGCGTCTTTGGCTAGGTGCAATTGGAGTACAGAAATATCAACTGATCAGGAGGAAAAAGTATTCCTAAGACCTTTTAACTTATGGCACATAACCCTAGAATGTAACTTCAATATTTCAATGTTAAGGATTCACAATAAGATTTGCAAATATATAACAATGGTTTGACCAACGGTCATAAATCAAAAAGTAAGAATGAAGTACTAAATAATCAAGAGAATGGACCAAAGTAGAAGAAAAAGTCTCGAAAAGAAACCCACCAAGTTCAGAATTTGTTGAGCTTCCTTCTTTAGAATAGCAAAGTTCATATGCGCCAATTCAGCCTGATCTTTGTCAATCTGAACAAGATGACTTGTTCTTACCATTAAAGTCGAAAGATACGAGTCTAAATAAAAGAAATTTTAGCTACAAATTTGTAATACCTTTTCGAGATCCAGATCTCCATTGTCTTGCTCATCAATTGACAAGAACTGCAAAATCGTTGGAGGAACATCTGGATCAAGTGTATGCCGACAGTAATGGAAATAGTTGAGCATCAAAGCATATTGGCTGCATCCATAATAACAAGAAAGTTCAAATCGTTATCTTTCTTAAAGCAAATTAATATTACAGAAGGTATTACTTTGATCAAAACTATACCGCCTTCGCAATGCTTCAGATGATTGAAGTCTAAGAATTGCCATGACAAGCTTGAAAATTATAGAGTGGCATGCGCCATTGGATAATTGATTTGTAGAAATTATGTCAAGACACGTCACTGTCTCTGAGTTAAAGCAGCCTCCAAATGAAAAGCGTTCAACACGTAGTTTAGCCATGCATGTAAGACCGACCTTAAAAGTATATCATAAAACAAGTTAATCCCTTGAACATATAACTGTAATATTAAATAAACTAATCAACCTAACCTGTGTCAATATCAGGGCCATCTTCAGGGAACAGTCTGGGGAACCAGAAGCATTCAAGGAAGCATCTAGCAACCTGAACATACATAAATTAACAGTGACAATCATGATAAATATGCTGAGGAAAGAAAAATGGGGCAGTCTGACTCACTGAAATAATATTTCAGATCTAGTATCAAGGAATGAAATTTTCTGGGACACAGACACCTGAAAAGGGATGAAAACAAACAATCAAATAACTAAAACGGGAAAAGGATAAAAACGTGTATAATATAGATCAAATACAGGAAACAAATAAGAAGCTTGTTTGACATATTAATGGGTAATTAACAATTTTAATCCCCAATAGATGGCATGATGTAACAAACATCCTGTGGTTTTCTAACGTAAATATTCTTCACTATATGCTCCAAGAATTTATAAATGTATAAACAAAACCAAAGAGTCACACAACAACAAAAACCTTCACCATCCCTCTCGAAGGTGGCACTCCAGGAAAAATGAAAAAAAAAATGGCCAAGTACGTAAAAAGACAGTGACCTCAACAATCTGAGACCAACTCGTTAACATATGAAGCTGAGCAGCCTGTTCTTCTAGGTTCTTGTTGTATTTCCATCCCCATCTCAACAGTTGCTGGATAACTTCTCGTACTTCATTCAATTCAGCCTCGCTGGTAAAGGAGCTCATCTGGGGATTAAATAAACTGCACTTCTGTGTAGAGAGGAAAAATGGACATAAATCTATATACCATTGAGTTAGACAGGGCATGAATAGAAGGGTAAGCAACCAAAAGAATTAAAGATTAAGTCAAAAAATAAAAAGGGGAACATTCAGAGACCAGAAAGGCACCTGACAAAGTTTATCCCTGAAAGAAGCTAGGTCAATCAAACGGTCGCCACGCTCTGACAAATAATAGACACCACCCTTTCCAGAGGTTGCTGGGTTGGTAAGTATATCTTCAGCCTAAAAAGCATATAGGGTCGGGTTAATGATAATAAAAACTAGATACCAAAACCACAAAAATTGTGGATCTTACCAGAGACGAATATTTTAAATTAGATACAGACTGAGAAGACTTCAGTGTGGTATCAGGACATTTAAACTGGACAACTTCAAGTAATTCTAGCACCTACATTGAAAGAAAAATACTCAGTGTTGTTACCACTGATCACGGAAGAGCACAAAATAAAAGTTTGTCAGAAGGATGGTGAAAAACTAAGTAATCTGATAAAAAGATAAACTTATTTTTAAGCATAAATTAAGAAGCAACGCTTCCGCATCTTACCAAATTGGTCTTTGTAGATGACGAGTTAAAATCATAATGTCAACAACTTTAAATATTGGGTTTGCAAACTTGATGTTCTTATAAAGAATTAAAGAAATAAATTTGAGATCGTAAAAGATTGGAATGCCCATCCAATTAAATGGAGATTAGCTTCACTTGAAACCATTTCCCTTAGGAAAACGTTTCCATGAATTATTCCCAGTGTAATGAAATTCCATTTTTTTTTCTCACAGTTGCCAGCAACGTGTTCGCTGAAAACTAAATAGTGGATACAACCAGTACCTTAATCTTGCCAATTGAACCAATTCTGGCAACTTCACTGTTGGTTTGAGGAACATAGAAAGAATCATCCTGGTTAGTTCTGTATTCAGCAATGCTCTGCCCAAATAGTTGAGCAAGAATATTTTGACAAGTTTCTCGATGAAGAGCACTCGTCATATCTGCAGTATGTAGTTCTACTGCTAACAGTTTCAACAACCATGCTCTCTACATAGGGAAAGAAAGTGAATATTTAGTAGACATTGAAAATCTGTTTAATGAGATATCAATGATAATCAGCGATAATCAGCGATATAGAACTATTTATAGTTCAGATTACCAAAATGCGAAATAAGCCATTACAACTTTGCATGAAGTGATGAACATACATCCAAGAATCATGATAATTTTATTTGAAGTCAAGACAACCCAGGAAGCAAAATAAATTTGTTCACGTGAAACTCAGAAGAAAGAAATTCTTGAAGTCATACAGCTTTCGATCAATAGCTGATTTTTCTTCATTCTCATTTTGGATAACAATAAAAGAAAATATTATTATTGAAATAAGAAAGATATCAAGAATTATATAATAGCACAACTGTAAACCAATTAATCTAAGTTTAACATCAATCACTAATAAAAGCTTGCGAGTTTCATTGCAGAGTAGATGAAGCAAGCTCACAGATAATGCAGCAAGACTTAACAAAAACACGCAAAGAACCATGAAGAATATTTATACAATAAGAAAAGAATGCAGGTATTGGGTACCTGCCACCAGGTAAACCGCTACTGGGGCTAGGGGTGTCCAAAAGTCCCGGACCGAACCGAACCGAACGGTTCTTCATAAGTTAAATATCCGAACGGGTACCCGAATCGAGAACCGATGGGTTTGGGTTAGGTCTTAAGTCTAGACCAAGAACCGAAGAATCGAAACTAAATAATTTTTTTTATTTTTTATATTGAATTAATTAAATTATTTTATTTTTTTCTAAACAAATTAGCAAATTAATTAAATAAGTCGGATAATTTCATAATTTTAATTTAAAGCCCAAATCATTTTCAAAGCCCATTAGCCCATTTTAATTTGCTCATGACTACATGACTATTCGAATTTGCTCATTAAATTTAAAGCCTTCAAATGATTAAATCAAATAGTTGGTAAGTATTACCAATACTTAAAAATAATTTATTTTTATAACTTTTAATTTATATTTCATTTTCTTTATGCAGGCAGGCTGCTTGAAGTAAATGAATTTACTTTATGTAGTGTTGTTGTATTATTAATATCTACTTTTTGATATTTGTATGCATTGAATTAATCTTATTGGGCGGCTAGTTATTTATATATTTTTTAATTGGATTACGTTAATTTGTAAAAGTTACGAATGAAATGTCATTAGTTTTATTTATGTGGCGTTGCTGTAAATATTAAAAAATTTAATTATGGTACGGAATCGAACGGTTCCATATTTATATTTTGACCCGAGGGTTCCATTTATTAAATACCCGAAAGTTTTGAGTCGGTTAGGTTCTCTTCAGAACCGAACCAACCCGACCCACGGACAGCCCTAACTGGGGCTAAAGTCTTTTGGCTCAATAAGTGTACTAATCATTTTTTTATTTTCCTACTGAATCTCTCAGATAATACACTTATCCTTCTACATTAGTAAAAAGTTTGAATTATAATAACCTATATAACTATCGACTTCCATCTTGAAGTTTTACACCCATTTATAACAAAATAAGAAAAAGGAAAAGACATGCGTAATGTGCAAGCAAACAAAAAACCTTGTTAAGATCGTCCAATACAAAGAATGAGGAAATTAAGAAACAGAGTGATAAATAACAAAAACCTGATGAAGAGAGCAGATACGAAGTGCTTGACCGCTATTTCGCTTAGGCAGTGGAGCAACACCTATTGAACTCAGATGCTGAATGATAGAGCAAAAATAACAGTAAAGATTAATCATATATAAGAGAAAACACGGCTGCTAAAAAAATAAATAAATAAACAAAGATCAATCATATGATGTAGCAATAACAACCTTCATGAAGAACTGGTACTTTTTTGTAGCCAACAAATCCATGGTAGGACTAGAAGTCAGTGGATCCACGCATAATTCGAAAAGGAGCTGCAAAAGAAAGTCAATGTAAGCTAACAAATGTACAAATAAGTCAACTCATCATCTATAAATAAGTTAGACGAGGTAAATGCAATTTAACCTGAAAACCAAATTCATGAAGCAATGCATTGACCTCAGGCTTCAAAAGCTTATCCAACATGTCAAGAATGACTTTCAAACAACTACAATTTTGATTGAACAAGCACCAAGTTATTTTTTACAAGTGAAGAATGAAAATCTGGTAGATCGAAAATAAAATGAAGCAAAAGATATGTTTGCTATGAAACAAAAATGATCGGATAAATTTCAAAAAAACAGTAAAATATAACCTGTAATGAAATTTTGGCTGAAGCACTGTACGCTCTACAGGGCTGTCAACATCAAATCTGAGCAATAAGTGCGTGATATTAGGAGCTGGCCTGTTGACATTATCAATGAGCAGCTGCATTCAGGTAATGATAGAACTTTTAGATAATAGGAAAAATTTACATTGCTGTAATGGAATTAGAACCAAGTCAAATCCAGCCTGCTGCTAGCTAATGGATAATGCCATGTTTTGAAAACCAGCCCAGATGTTGACTCAGAAAAGCTAGAGGGTCAAGGATAGAAAGATCAAACCAGGGTCGAACCAGTAGTAATAATAAATAAATTATATACCACAAAATTTGACACACTTAAGTTAATTTTTCAAATGAATTAATACATATAGACAAAAGCATCTATTAATGATTCAATTTGGGTAAATTTAATTTTTATTTTGTCGAATGGTGAATTGTCTAATACTTTTATAATATTTTATCGTGTCAGTGAAATAAAATTAAAATGAGATCTCAGGAAAATAATTTGAAAAGAAAAATATTTTACACCAACATGATTTTCCTTTTTTAATTAGAGCTACTACATTTTGATTTATTCAACTTTTATAATTGAAAAATCATTCACAAGAGTTTGATGCATTTTTTTTATTTTTATCCCACATCCGAATCTCCTTAGAAAATCACTGAAGATGCATGCTATAAATATGTAGGTTAATAATTAGACATGTACCTTTTCTGCGCCTTTCATTGCTTTCAATGTATTGGGCTAAAAGTTGCAAATAATATACTTTTAAATCATTTCATTGCTTTCAATGTATTGGGCTAAAAGTTGCAAATAATATACTTTTAAATCATTTATCAACCGGCAGAACAGAGAAACCGATTCCGGGTCATCCGGTTCGCAATTAGTAGGCTAATTGACCAGTTTTTTACCAGTTTTAAATTAGGTGGTTTTAAGCATTAATCGGACCAAATATTGAGCTGGTTTCCAGTTTCCAGTTAAACCGACCGGTCCAGTCCGGTTTTCATGACACTAGGATAATGTTTACAATCAATGTGTAGCAACATCACAGCTCTGAACCTTTATTTTATAAACATTATAATAAATTCCAAATAATTTGTTCTAGTCAGGGTATCACACAAAATGATTATAGCAATTGGAAGATTCCATATTATTATAGGAGCATTTTCAAAGCTTCTCCCTATTTCATTCATATTCTGAGAACCATTAGTCATAAAATCTAGATTTCTGATTCTCGGTGTGATTCCCAATTTAAAGATTAGATTAAATAAAAGATGGATCTTCAAATTAGAAGGAATATTAAACATAAAAACTCACTTGCATTATTAAAACACCAGGATCTTCGCTGCTCTCCTCAATAATTTGACTTTCTTCGGATCTTAGCTCTAAGCAGGCAGCATAATCCTCAATCAAACCCCCAGAAGCATTACACTTCAATAGCAACTGTGAGAGCCCAACCATGCGAGAACTGCCACGCCAGTAACATCTTGTTATTATGGTCTTAAAACATTATTACCAAATGCCTCAATAATAGGAGAAGATAGGGATGACATAGAAGATAATGGAAAGTTGCCTTAGAATACTCAAAATTTTGATTGAACAACGCTGCACTTGGGGCAAAAAATCATATCTGACATATTCCAATAAAGCTACAATTTGATTATGATCTTGGGAGAGTATGACTTCCAAAGGCTGCACAATGAAGAACCCATAAAAAATATCAATGTAAGTTTGACATGAAGTACCGTAAATAGAAATTCGGGAAACTTTTGGTAAGCGACTATTGGAATAAACATTGAGAACTTGAACACAAGAAAGAAAAAAATGCATTGGGAAAAGCACTTTAAAAGGGATGAAATGCGCAGCAAGCGAACCAATAACAATTTCATGATTTCCGAGACACGGAACATTAAATGGAAACATACCCAAATTTTGATAAAATTTGAGCGGATATGTCTAAACTCCATGCAGGATTTGTGTTCATGCAAAATAATAAAAGGTGAATTTAAGGATGCTATTGCTACCAATTGTGCAAATATTCACATGCAGAGGCCAGTGCAGGTTGGTGTGCTTTTCTTTCTTTTTCATTTTTTTTCTATTTCTTGTCCTGGGGTGAGGGTGGAAGGATCACAAGTACTACACCCTCAAAATCTTGTTGAAGACTAAAAAATCTTTAACCATTAATAGAGAAGCATGATAGCAAAGCTAAGCAGACAACCACAAGGCAACATAGACTTGCATATCATATTAAACCAAACTATAAAGCAAGCCTCAAGAAGAACGCTAAAATTGTTACCCATCTTCGCATACATGAGATTTTGTCAAAATTGAAAGAAGCACAAATCGGGCTCATATATTATCTTTCAAGGCCTAATAAGTAAACAAGGCTTGAAGAAAATCCATTAAGACAATACCTGATACAGAGGGCGCGAGAAGTCAGAAACAATTAAATCTTTTTCCATCACAAGAATTATAATTTCCAAAGATAGGAGAACAGCCTTTTCAAGAAGTTGCCCATAAATTTGACTCGTACGCTCAGTGATTAAAAAATTGACTCCCGGTGAAAGAATTGACATTACATTCCGAAAAGCAGTTCTACCGCTCATGAAGTCCTACAAAAAATCCGAATTGTTAAATAAATAAATCAGCCAATGCACCAAAGAAAAGATAAATTCATCAGCAATCAACTCCTCAATTTTGAAAAGTTGTCAAACTTCAAAAGCAGAATTGAAGTTCAATGTTGACTTTATACCTCTTAACATTTTTATAATTGAAATTTGGCCTAAACTAAGCCCCTGTTTGACAACCATGTCAACCATTATTTCAAAACTCTTTAATTTTTATATTCATTTTCAACCACACATTTACACAATAAGATTTTTTGCAAGTAAATCCAAAATTTTTCCTACTTTTTAACTACACATAAAAAAAATAAATAAATAACTATTCGAAACTCCATTTTCTCAAAATAATGGCAATCAAACAGGGGCTAAATTCCAAAATTCATAAAATAGGGTTTGTCATGTACTTGACATGTCGAAGCTGTCCCTTGTGTGTCAAAAGTTCAAGGAACTGTACCTACCTACATATAACTTGATCTAAAAGTTTAGATTATGTAAAAACACGTATATATTTGTATTCAACTGACTCCTTCACATGTAGGTGGATACATTTTTTAACCATCAAAATATTTCATGTGCAAAATTTCATAAATGGGATGCAGAAAATGTGGACTCATGAACTTTGCATGATGTGATACCATTTAGAATTACTTGATCTAAAAGCTTCTTCAATAACACAAGCCTAAGTTGCACAGACACGGACCCGTCGAGCAAGAAAGCTGAAGCCCTATTAATTAGAGAACCTAATGAACCCAAAATCCTAATCGACTTATCAGCTAGCTCGCGGGATCTTCATTCTTTATATTAAGATATAGACAAAGGCATCGCACCTTTGAACAAGAGCTTATTCTCTACGCTCCTCATCCTTTCCAACTCCTATCTTTTTCTAAATCTAACAACCTATACACCAACTCCACTTCAGGACATGACACGACACAGACATAATGATATGTGATTTTTCGAAAAAGTAGGATACGTAGAAGTTGATTTAATTCTTTAAAATTTTAATTTCATATATTATCTTTATTTCTATAATTTTTAATATAAGACACTATCTATGGAATCTCGAACGGTTGACCAAAGGGTGTCTCTAAAGTATTTCTCAAGGGTCAGTTATTTAAAGATATACAAAAAGTGGTGTCCAAGAAGTGTTGGGATATGACATGATACTAGCCGAATACTGACAAGCCCTAGTAGGAGTATCCGTGCATCGTGGATACACACAACCCATGTGACATGTTGGATACGTGCCGTAAGTGCAATGGGATCTTGCCCTGACCAATGAGAAATTGAGAATCTTAAAAAATATAAAAGATAAGACAAGGTACATCGTTGTTGGGCACATACGCCAACATGTCATACTAGTTATATTGCATCATAATGTCAATCCTTATATAACAATATTCCATAAGATGAACGTACGAAAAAACAAGATCTTAATATGGATGTGTATATATATTAAGAAATAAATATATACGCTAACATGTGAAGGTGGCACGAGTTTAGGATAAGGTAAAAGGATGATGACAGAGATATTTGAGGCCATCATTTTGTACATATGAAGAAGATCCCCTTCTACAAGGATGCATTTCCATTAGAACATGTTAGAATAGAGGTAACAAAATCCACATAGCCTTGCAAAATATTCGAGTTCCTTAAAATCATTTAGGAGGTATAGTTGATCACCACAGATAACGTAGCATTATAATATTTTTGTGTTGGAAGAGAGTCTAAACATACTCTCCAGATGAAATGCTTCACTTTGTATGGTGTGTCAAAAGAGGATTTATGTAAACCTTACGCAGATTGGAAATAACTGCTAATTTGTTTAACAAGACAATGATGAGATTATACTACATAATAGCAGGAGAGCAACTTAACAGCATTAACAGAAAAATGAGATATCAATAATCAAAAGGAGGCCAATACCTTCACTAATTCTATGGCAGGAAGATTCATCTGCGGAGAAGATTGCCCCTTCCCGGAAAGCTGAGATTGATTGACAACAATGTCGACATCCTCTTCTCTAACGTCATACATGCTCAGCATCCTACACATGATAATAAATGGAAATAAAAGTTCAAACCATTGTCATTAATGCAAAATCTACTATTGGATATTAAACACTTATAATAGTGAAAATAAAGAAAACCAGAAGTCGAACTTCCGTAGGAGAATTCAGAAAAAACTGCTATAGTACATGAACCATTAACAAATCTCACATTTGGAAATGTTTAAGACAAGCCACAACTAGTTGCCATTTATCACAGGGGTCTGCGTAGGCTCTCTGCGGAAATGGGCTGAATACATGGTCATATATAAATCTGAAGATGCCAATAAACCTACAAAAAAAACATATAACTGTCATTTAAAAAAATCATTTCACGATAAAATAAGTAACTATAAATCATTATAATTGATAATTACAGCCAATACCTATGTCCTCGGTCGCTAACATCCCTTTCCTCGGCAATTAGAACATTTAGCAGATTGATAAATGATATAGTTGAAGGATATTGTTCTCTTCTTGCTTCAATTTCATTTAACTCAAATTGCATGTCATAAACCTTCAATTGAACAATAAACATGTATAAAATTGATAATAACAGAACCAAAAAAACCCTCTGCTTCTTCTTTAGTTAAATCATACTGCACTCAATCATCGAGTAATGCATAAATAAGTAATACATATCCAAGAATTGAGAAAGAAACAAAAAAGGAGAGGAAGGAATGAGACAGCTTGAAACCAATAAAGACCAAGTAAAATCTCCAGTCCAGAAGTGCCTGCTTGCTGATTTAGAACAAATCACATATTAAAATTAATCATTTTCAGATAAGCCTATGGCTCCATATCAGTTTAACCTTGTATCACAAGCAAGTTCAGATATAGTTCAATTCTTTCTCAACTGAGCCAAACAGGATTTCAACCAAACCTACCTGTGTGCCAATTGGTTGTCCGCTGTTCCCAATATTAGGCCCAATAACTACTGGTAGATCGTACTGCTCTAAGTAACTCCAAATTGCATCTTTCATAAGTGGAGACACATGCACAAAAGTAGCTATGGCATTTCGCAAAGCACCCTACAAATCACAGATGCAAGGTCAAGAGCAGAAAATACTGCAGAATATGAATAACAACCACCAACAGGACAAAATAAAACTGAGGAATAATATGGAATAGCAGAAAATTCAGAGACCGCAACCTTGAGATAAGGAGGCACGTTTTCATAACTGAGGAGCTTGAACAGTGGCTCAATATCAGGAAACCAGTTCTTCCTTTCAATGGGATTTCCATTTTCCACAACCTGTATCACAAAGAAAGAACATGTACAAACCAGTCACGCTTACATTGATGTTGAAATACAGTTTTAGAAAGGAAGATAATAATAATTTTATTTTCGAGTGATTCTCCAAAATTATATATACGTGCACACACAGAGATTGGAGTCAGCGTGAAAATTGTGGGAACAGTTCAATAAATGTTCAGACTCTATATATTAAATATGAATAAATACTTGTATGCAAAAGAAGGCTACCCGTGGATCACAAATTTCTACAATCAAATTCTTTATACAGTTAAGGTAATTACATTTGTTTCAATCTCAGCTGAATGTTTTCATGAGAGAAGTGAATAAAAGATGCGTCAAACAGTGTCATGGCAGGATTGAATCAGCCTCGAAGCGTCAAACCTGCCTTCAAGCAGGTGCTTGATAGAATCAAAACAAAAAGCGCTTGCCCTCTTGTTTTTAAAAATAAATAATCAACAATCTTCAGTTCAGTTTTTTTGAAAAAAAAAAAAGTTGGGTTCAAACAGCACCAGACTGACCCGCTATAATGGCAGGCTCAAGAACCGGTCCAGTCTCCAATGGATTTTTATTAGTCGAAGGACTCCAGGCTTGTGGCTAGTAGAACTTGTGCACCTCAGAACATAACCACCAAACAACCAATTCCCATATTGAGTTCTCTCAGATATCAACTCTTTTTTTCTGTAATAATATTATACGGTCCGGTCTCCAACGAATTCATATTCTGGGGCTCTACCAGTCCATGCCAGTTCATCTTCCTAGCCACCAACACCCACACCAATTTTTTTCAGATTTTATCAGTTCTAATGCTACACCACTCTTTCACTTTCTTTGTTCTATTATTTTTTATCAATAAATTAATGTGAATATTTAGTGCTTGTTTGGGATAGATTATAATGAGTAATAGATCCCACAAAATGCGTAGATAATAAGTGGGTAGCAGTTGTGAATGCGTGGTTAAAATTAAGATTTATTTTTACTTCAAATTATAATAAACTTATAATTTTACCCAAACAAGCTCTTAATGGGAAGTGATAGGTGTTTAAGCACTGTATTACCTATATGAGACCTAAAAGTTATACCTATATGTACATGTGTAAATAAATAAATGTCAAAAATGGATGGAGGAAAAAAAAGGAATAGTGTAAAAGAGTGCATTGAGGTGAGCAGATATTCTATTTCTTTTTTTTTTTGAAAGGTAATCAAGTATTTTATTAATCAAAGAATAATACACAGGTTGTGTATTATTACTTTAAACCAGAAAGAAACAATAAAAAATTAGGCAGCCCATCTACATGATTAGTAGCCGCAGCATTAAACCAATTATACAATGTCAAATAAAACAATTCCCTAATCTGCTCTGTTGTTCGTGTTTGATCATCAAAGCAGCGGTT